TGTCTATTTAAAAAAAATAGGATTTTGATTTGTTTTTTCTATTCTATATCTCATTATTTCTGCTTTTATATGTAGTGTTCCTTTCTTTGTGGTTTCTTTTGGTTTACTTAGGTTTGTAGGTTTTCTTTTGAAGTCATAATTTAATTCATTTGTTTTCATTCATTTTTATGCATAAAAGTACTGAGTGCTCTGTGATCACTGCTTTAAAATTATCTCATATTGATGATGGTTTCTCTGGCCATGCAGAAGCTTTTAATTTGATGTAGTATCATTTTTTTCGTTGTTTGCCTTGCCCTAGGCAATGTATCATTGAAAATTCTGCTATATGTGATGTCTGAGATTTTTCTGCCTACACTTTCTTTTAGGATTTTTATGGATTTGTGAATTACACTTAAGTCTTTCATCCATTTTGAGTTTATTCTTGTGTATGGTGTAATTTGGTGGTCAAGTTTCATTTTTATGCATGTACCTGTCCAATTTTCCCAACACCATTTATTGAACAGACTGTCTTTTCTCTATTGTATGCTCTTGCCTTCTTTGTTGAATATTAATTGCACATGATGTCTTGGGTCGATTTCTGGGTTCTCTGTTCTGTTCCATTGATCTATATGCTTATTCTTTTGACAGTACCAGTCTGTTTTGATTAGGATGGCTTTGTAGTGTAACTTGATATCTGGTATCCCTCCCACTTTGTTCCTCTTTTTCAAAATTGTTGTGGCTATTTGGGGTCTTTTATGGTTCTATATAAACTTTTGGAGCATTTGTTCTAGACTTGTGATATATGCCATTGGTACTTTAATAGTGGTTGCATTGAATCTGTAGATTGCTTTGGGTAGTATGGACCTTTTAATGATGCTGATTCTTCCAGTCTATAAACACTGTACATGTTTCCACCTTTTTGTATCTTCCTCTATTTTTTTTCAATGTCCTGTAGTTTTTTGAGAACATGTATTTTACCTCCTTGGTTAAGTTTATTCCTAGTTATCTTGTTTTTTTGTTATTGTTGTTGCAATGGTAAATGGGATTGATATTTTAGTTTCCCTTTCTGTGTGTTCATTGTTGGTATATAAGAATGCCATCAATTTCTGAATGTTAATTTTGTATCCTGTTACTTGGCCAAATTCTTTTATTAAATCTAGTAGATTTTTTTTTTAATCCTCACCCCAGGATATTTTTCTATTTATCATCAGAGAGAGTGGGAGGGAGAGAAAGGGGGGGGGAGGGAGAGAGAGAAACATAGATGTGAGAGAGACTCATTGACTTGTTGCCTCCCACATGACCCCAACCAGGGCCAGGGACGAACTGCAACCAAGGTACATGCCCTTGACTGGAATCAAACCCACGGCTCTTTGGTCAACGGGCCAGTGCTCTAACTGGTGATCCAAACTGGCCAGGGCCAATCTAGTAAATTTTTGATGGAGTCTTTAGGGTTTTCTGGGTACAATATCCTGTCATCTGCAAATAATGACAGTTTCATAGCCTCCTTTCTAATTTGAATGCTTTTTATTTTTTTCTTATCACTGCAGCTAAGGCTTCCAGTACTATGTTGAATACGATTGGTGATAGTGGGCATCCCTCTCTTGTTCCTGTTCTTAAGGGAAATGTTTTTAGTTTTTGCCCATTGAGTAAGATGCTAGCTGTAGGTTTTATGCATCCGTATGTTAATAGCAGCATTATTTACAATAGCTAAAATCTGGAAACAACTCAAGTATCCATCAGTGGATGAGTGGATAAAAAAGCAGTGGTACGTTTACACAATGAAATACCATGCAGCTGTAAGAAAGAACGATCTCTTACCCTTTCAGACGACATGGACGGACCTGGAGAGTATTATGCTGAGCAAACTAAGCCAGTCAGAGAAAGACAAATACCACATGGTCTCACTTATTTATGGAATATCATGAACAAAATAAGCTCTTGATCAAAATAGATCCAGAGACATGGAAGTAGGGAACAGACTGATAAACTTCAGAGGGAAGGGGGTCGGGGCACTGGGAAGAAATAAACCAAAGAATTAATATGCATATATGCACAGACAATAGTTTGGGGGGAAGGGGCATCTGTAATACTTTCAACAATAAAAAAGAATAATATAGTGAAGTTATCTCATAGATTCTGATATACAGTTTTCTGTTATCATTCTTTTGAAAAAAATTCTGTAACTTCAGTTACTATCTACTCTTTAATTCAATAATTTTTAATATAGGGTTTTAAGCAATTTTCAGGTGGAAAGTCCTTTCTATTTTCAGTTAACTTTTGTTGCATTGTGATTAGAAGGGATTGTTTCTAACATTTCAGTTTATTGAAATTAATTATGTCATCTCTGTGATATAATGTCTATCTTTAATCAATTTTGACAAGAAAGTGTATTCTCTATTCCCAGAATATCTATCTATGGCTTACCTTATGGATTATGTTGTTTAGATTTTTTTGTTTATTGATTTTTTAATTTAGTTAAGTGATATTGGTAAAAAAAATTATATAGATTTCAGGTATACAATATTTTAATACATCATCTGTATATTGTACTGTGTATTCACCACCTCAAGTCTAATTTTCTTCTATCGCCATTTATCCCCCTATACCTTTTTCTACCTCCCACCACTCTAGATTTTTTATATACTTGTTTTTTTTTATACTACTTGATCTGTCTTGTACTGACATTGGTGTATTAAATTTTGTATTAGTACTGTGCTTTTATCTAAGTCTTCTTGCTTTATAACTTCATAAATTTATTTGCTCTGTTATTTGGGGTATAAATATTGCTAAGTGGTATATCTTCATTGTAAATCTTGACTTTTATCATTATATGTTTTTTGTCATGTCTAATGATTTATTAAAAAAAAAAATCCGCCCTGGCCAGTTTGGCTCAGCGGTTAGAGCGTCGGCCTGCGGTCCGGAGAGACCCGGGTTTGGTTCCCACTAGGGGCACGTACTTCGGTTGCAGTTTGTCCCCGGCCCTGGTTGGTTGTGCGGGTGGCAGCCACTCGATGTGTCCCTTCACGTCGATGTTTCTCTCTCTCTCTCCCTTCCTCTCTCTCCCTCCCACTCTATCTGTACAAAAAATGGAAAAATATCCTTGGGTGAGGATAAAAAAAAATAAAAAAATAAATTCTTAAGCATCCATTTTCTCAGCACTTTACTATCTGGTCTATTCATTTGTACTTCCCCCACCCCCAGTATCATTTAACACGGATCTACTGTGTTCAGACAAAAAGTTTATTCTATTACCTTCTATTCCTATCACTTCTCTTATTTTTAGTTACACAATCTCTGTGTGTTTTTTTTTTCATAACATAAAGCACTTTATACTAGTCTTTCCCCTTTCTCCCCACCTGATTTTAGTATTCAATTTAAAATGTTCACCATCAGATATTTAGGTGAACTTTTCACTGTCACCACATTTGAGATAACAATTCCAGTTTTCTAGTTCATCTTTTAGAATATTACCTGGGAAACGTTCTGTAAAGAGACACAGAGTAAATATTTTAAGGTTGTGGCCACAGTGTCTGTCACAATCACTCAACTTTGCCATAGTAGTCCAAAAGCATCCATAGACAATATATAAATGATTGATCATGGTTTTGTTCCAATAAAACTTTAGCTACAAATCATTCAGTGACTACATTTGGCATGATGAGGCAGAGTTTGCAGACCCCTGCTCTAGTGGATTTCTCAGGAAGGGCTGAGGTGTGCAGAATCTCCTACGTTATATATGTTGAAAACCTGTTTTACTATAGACTGTAATATCTGAAGATCGCCCCCATTGGATATAAAATCTTTACTTGAGACTTTCTTTTTAGTCCATTCCTGTTTTGAGATTTCAAAAAATATTCTGATTAAAGGTAGGTTTTGTATCCTCAAGTGCTTGCTTGGGTATAATTAATTCTGTTGACTTACAATCTCCTTGTACTTCATGGTTGTTTAATATGTGTGACATTGTTTCCTCATCTTTTTGTGCAGTACTTTTTCATGGAATTTCCTTTTCTTCATTTGTATGATATTTCAGAAGATTCTTAGTTTAATTATGCCATTTTTTTCAATGTAGCAAAGTCTAAATCCTTTCTTTATTTTGTTAGTTTTGGTGATGGAGCAAGAAGTTGTTAATGCTCTCATTTTGTAATACTGTTGTGCCTTGCAAGATTCTTAATTTTTCCTCTTTGGTTTCCATTCCTTGTCATAACACAAGTGCCAAGGGATACTTTTCTCTTACTCTTTGCCTTTATTCTTCCCTAGAAGTTGCATCTTTCAAAGACTACACCTTTAAATCATCCACACCCCCTTTAAATGCTCATGTTTTGGAGTCCCTTCCCTCATCTTTCAGAACACATTTAAGTATTTTCATACTTAATCTGTGCCTACTCGTTCTATTATAGTTTTAGATCAACTTTAAGCCTGTCACTGTCTTTCTTCCTTTTTCTCCCTTGCAGCTTTTCTTGGTCTGTCTTTGCTTGCCACAGATCCAAGATGAGAGTGTGATTGATTGTGTGCTGCTATTTCATGATTTTCTTTTGTACTTACAATTATTTTGGCATTCTCTCATTTAAAATGATGATGAGGGTGTAGCTTTTGTGTACATTTATGTTTTTTTCTTATTGGCTTGCATCCTATTGGGAGGAAATAACGGGAAGATGGCAACTAGGTGATTCATACTGTATTCTGCTGTTAACCTCTAATTTTTAACAGCATTTTATTATATATATATATAAAGTTTATATATATATAATATATATATAATGCATGTATATAATATATATGTATATATAGAGATATTTGTGTGTGTGTACAAACTATACACACACATACACACATATTTAGACACACATAAATCTATTTTTAGTCTATTCTTATAGCAGAGATTAGTTGATGTGGCTGTCTGATTCACCATGTATTTATTCAATAAATGTTTTGTCCATAGCCAACCTTGGAGGCAAACAAGAGACTGTAGCTGTTGTCTCAAGATTTCTAAAAATTCATTACCCTGAAGGAGGTTTGTGAAGATGAACCAAAAGGCCACAGCCACACTGCTAGAGCTTGCTGCAAAGTGTCTGCTGAGTAATGAGCCTGCAGCTATCCATGCCCTGGGAGAACTCCCAAGAGACCTCTTTGTTCCACTGTTCATTGCTGCCTTCTTGGGTAGGCATATGAAGGTACTAAAGGAAATGGTGAGGGTTTGGCCCTTTCACTGTCTCCATATTGGGACATTGAGTGCAGAAGAGACATATTATGAAATCTTGGAAGCCATGGTTGATGGTCTGCAAATCCTCCCTGCTCAGAACTCTTCCACTTGGTAAGACTATGTTCAATAGCAGCATCGTGAGTCAGCAAGAGGGTATGGCTGTAGCCTGAGGCAGGGGAATAAATAACATTCTCTCAAAAGTAGCCAATTGTAAATGCTGAATATCTCTGTGGGGCTATTGTTTGAACACTTGCAGTCTCCTTAGGGACTTCAGTGTCTTACAGGATTGATTGAAGGATAGAGGTGATTGAGGATACTGTGGATGGATTTACCTCCTGAATGTAACTATACAAAGGGCATGGGCACTGAGACTGGGGAAGACTAGGGGTGATGAAAGTATGGGGAAAAGAATGAAAGATGCTGAGTTTGTATGGAAAAGACTTAGTGAAAGGTATACAGAGTGAAACCTGGAATAAAGAGCTCTGTCCTGCTTCCCATCATTGACATAGCTGGATTTTATTTAAAATCAGCTACTTCTCATGTGTTCTGTCTCCTTCTCTCCTCACAGGAAACCAAAACTGAGGATCCTAGATTTAAGGCAGGACCCAGACTGTGAGACAACATGCTCAGAGGTCACAACAACATTCCCTTTCTGTTTTCAATCCTGTGTTTACTCTCAACACTCCATCTTTAAAATAGAAGAAGCCCAGCATAATGTCAGGTGCCTCAAAATCATTAATTCAGAGTCTGAACTACACTCAGCCTGGGAACCCATGGAATTATTAGTGGACCTTTCCATCGGTGGTACCTTGAGAACTAAGCAATTTCTTTCTTTCCTTCAGAGTAAAGTTGAACAGAGCTTTGGGATCTTGCACCTCTGTTGCAGAGGTTTGCAAATTGATAATATATCTGCCGACAAAAGTACCCTGAAGTTTCTGGATGTGGGATGCATTGATCACCTTGAAATGGATCAGGCTGATCTGAATGAGATCACCAACCTTTTGTCTCAGATGATCCACCTGAACAGCCTTAGTCTGTCTAACATCCCTCTTAAATCTTGTAAGAGAAGAAATTTCAGAAATTTTCTCATTTTTCTTGGGAAGCTGGGCAACCTGCAGGAGCTCAGTTTGTCTTCCTTCTGCCTCAAAAATCAACTGCACAAACTTCTCAGGTACGGGGTTGAGGAAGAACCTGGGAACTCTGAACATACCATTGTTAAGACAGGAGAAAAGACCATGCTGAGATATTCATAAGCTCCTTGTAACCTATTTCTTCTTCCTCCTCAACATGAGCACTGCTGGGAGTTTGAAACTGGCCAGGCTTGAAAGTGGTACCTCCTGGTGAGGAGAAAGACAAGGTTAGAAAAGGAAGCTGTATCCATTCATTCGGTTGACTATAGGGAGACACCATGAAAACTCTGTAAATATTATGGTGAAAAAGACTCAGTCCTCCTCCTATTGAAGTACAACTCTCTAGAGAGGAAGGGGAGGTATTCAGATGGAGAAATGTTTTATGCTCCAGCACTGATGCACATACCCATAGACTTGCCACAATAGTTAACACTACCAGATCAGTTTGCTCTTATATTATCCCCAAGGCTTAGACCTGGAGTGGAGAACTTGTCATCTGTGAACTAGTCAAATGAACTCTGGTTGGCTGTTTTCCCAGACCCATGCTCACCAAATAAGTGAACAAGGTCCACCATTGATTATGCTGTGTATCCTAAGTGCATATAATTTTATTCACTTAAACTTTCCCATAACCCTGTATAATAATGACTGTTGTGCACATTTTAAAGATTGAAAACCTATATCTCAGAGTGGAAAAGTAATTTCCTCAGGGTCACATGTCTATTAAATCTGATTCCAAAGCTCATGTTGTTACCAACTGTTGCAAAACATGTAGAAATCATTTTATTCTAGAGCTTTGGGTACCTACCGTTCAGGGCTCCCTGCCCTGGTCCAACTCTCATTCTTCTGAACTAACCTTTACTTTTTTTATCTCTCTCTACAGAGTCCTGCCACCTCAGTTGGATACATTGTATCTACCTTACTGTGAACTTTCTAACAGAGATGTCACTGCCCTGTCCCAGAGCTTTCAAGCCACCCACCTAACGCTGTTGAATCTCAGTAACAACCAGATATTCTCAGAAGGTTATGAGCCCTTCCAGATTCTGCTGGAGAAGGTCTCAGGCACCCTGAAGCTTTTGGAGTTAAATCATTGCCTGATAACTGATTCTACCCTCTCTGCTGTCCTCCCAGCCCTGAGCCACTGTTCCCACCTCCGTGTCCTTAGCTTTGTCTTCAACCCCATTTCAATGCCTATGCTCATGAGCCTTCTGCAGCACTTAACATCCTTGATGGAACTGAAGCATGTGATTTATCCTGTCCCTGTTCATTGCTATGAACAATGGGATTTTCACAGCAGTTTGAACCAGCGGAAACTTGCAGAAGTGCAGGCCCAATTGAAGGTGATGCTACAGGCAGCTCAACGGGACGACATGAACTGGACCACTTCTCAGTGATTTCCACAATACAAGGAGCTGTTTCAACACTGATGTGTGGCCATTAAAGCACGCAGTGTTTTGCTTGAAGCCCAAGTTTGTAGAGACACATATATGAAATTCTGTTACAGGAAACGGGTTAGGAAGATTGGATATGTAACTGACCTCTGTAAAAGAGGAATTTTAAAGGAAATAGAATTTGAAAGGTCCTGTGGCTCTCTTGCCCATTGCCTTCTGCATCCTTTCTGGTTGCTAATCACAGTGTTGGCTAAGCTAGTCAATGGTACATCATTTTCCTGTCTACACTTGTAGCTCCATTTATCCACTTCTGGGCACTTGACACAAGTCAGAACAGTTGAAACTTCTTCTGGATGTGTTAGTTGTTGAAGCCAATAATTTTACTGTTTAGGGTTCTGCAAACTTCTTGTATTTATTATCACCTTAGCTTGCTTATGAGAAACCATATGTAAGTAAAGGGAAACAGACCAACTACGCCCAGTACTTACTGGTGTTTTCATCAACATATTGCTACCTACTTTCCCAGTTCTCAGATCCTGCTCAGTTATTCCTTGTTTCACACACATTTGCCCAGCATCAGTTATGATTTAGGTACTCTTTCAGGTGTTAAGAAATATAAAGTTCCTGATGTCAAAGCACTCAGAGTATAAAGATGTTCCTATGATTTGTCGGTTTCTACACTCTTTCTTAGGGCATTTGGGAAAATTATTTTCCCGTCCCCCACCCCGTACCCCAGATTTTTTTTTCACTTTTTCCCTTACATACTCTGCTCGATCCTGTTGCTCTATGCTGTTTGATTGCTAGCTGCTCAACCCTCGGCTTATGGTTTAAATGTTATCTTCTCAGATAGGTTTTCTCTTACTTCTCTGTTTCAGTAGGCTTATTCCACTGTTGCTCTCTTTTATTGTACCAGGTATGTTTCCTTCGTGTACAAATCATTCATATGTACTTGCTCCCTCTGCTCTTCCACTAAAGGTAAACTGTTCGGTATGGTACACACTAACCACATGTAGCTATTGAGCACTAGAAATTTGGCTACTCTGAAGTGTTAAATGCACACTGTATATTTTTGCCTTATTAAAAAATAAAGAATGTGGAATAATGAATTGATAATTTTATTGTTATTTACATGTTGAAATGATAATATATTGCATGAAAAAGTAAAGAAAAAGGAATGTAATTAACTTGTTTCTATTGTTTACATGTACTTCATTTAGTAAGAAAAAATGTTAAAATAACTAATTAATGATCAGTTTATATGTTTACATGTCAAAATGATGTTTACTTGTCAAACTGCATTTCTAAGACTTATTGAGAAAAAAACAAAGTAAACTTAATTACTAGTTGGTTCCTACTGTTTACATATTGAAATAACATACTGAATTTTATTAACCAAAAAAGGGGAAATAATTGCTCTTTTGTGCATAGTTTTTTCTTGTTGAAATGAAAACTGAATGCATTTTAAAGAGAATAAGAAAAGAATGTAAAAATAATTATCGAGATGCTTATATTGTTCCCAGGTTGAAAATAATTGTTTTAAAGATATAAGGTTCAGTAATTTTGAGCAAAAATATTTATCTAGAATATAACAACTAAGTTGAGTAAACTATAAAATTTTTTTAGCTTTCTCAAGTTAGTTCTATTGTAGGATATACTTAAGCAATAATATATTCAGATTAAAGCAACTGAATGATGTTAAATGTTGCTCTTATGCCACATTACATTGAACCCTGGATGTATGTTGAAAGACATGCTTTGTTGTTGTCGTTGTTGTCAAACTTAATATAGGAACTATGTCTACCATTAAAATAGAAACATTTGGCATGTTTGTTAATTCTAGTTTCTTTGAACAACTAAGGCACGTAAATTTAAGCTTTAAGTTCATGGAGAAAATTTGAGATGTATAACAGTACTTTAGGATTTTGGTTTTGGTGTTTGCATAAAATTCTGACCTTGATTTAAATCTTTCATTGCATTGTGATTTCCTTTTAGGTGTATTGTGCTAAGTGAAACTTGTCAAATAAATCCTCCTTTAAAAACTACAATAAAATTTTTCATATTGCTTATATATTGATATTTTGAAATGACAACAAACAGCATTTCAAAGACTTAGAGAAACAAATAATAAAAATTAATAATTAATAAAAATATTTCTCCTTTTTCCCCCATTTACACCCTTCTCCCCTCTCCCTCCCCGCCCTGTCCCCAGCTTTGTTGTTCATGTCCATTGGTCTTGCGTACATGCATATAAGTTCTGTGGTAAAAAAAAATAATAATAATAAAATAAATAACAAAAATAGTTAATTTATTGTTGTCTACATTTTGTGATAACACTTCATTTCTGACTTAGACAAACATGTTATAATAACTAATAAATGAATTGTGTATATGGTTTGCTAACGGTAACCCATGACGTTTCAAAGACGTTATAAGAAAAAAAATATTGCAAATTAATTAATAATTTATTCAGCCTGGCTGGTGTGGCTCAGTGGTTGAGCATCGACATATGCACCAAGAGGTCACTGGTTTGATTCCTGATCGGGGCACAAGCCCAGGTTGTGAGCCAGATCCCCAGATGGGAGCATGCAGGAGGGGGCCAATCGATGTTCTCTCCCTCTCCCTTCCTCTCTCTCTCCCTAATATTAATAAAGAAAAAAAATTTTTTACTTTTATTTTTTGTATTGTTATTTTTAATTTATTTAGCTTTGTTACAGATGTTTCTCTTTTTTTCCTCCATTGACACACTCCTCCCGATCCCGCCCGCCCCATCATTATTGCTTATGTCCTTGTTTACACATACATGTGTAAAAGTTCTGTGGTTTATCTCTTCCCTTCCCCCACATCCACCTTTTCTGAGGTTTGTCAGTCTGCACCCACTTCCATGTCTCTGGGTCTATTTTGTTCCTCAGCTTGTTTTGTTCCTTACATTTCACAAATAAGTGACATCATGTGATATTTGTCTTTCTCTGCTTGTTTCACTTAGGATAACACTCTCTAGGTCCTTCCATGTCATCTCAAAGGATAAGAGATCTTTCTATCTTACAGATGCATATAATTCCACTGTGTATATGTACCACAGCTTTTTTATCCACTCATCTATTGATGGATACTTGAGCTGTTTCCAGATCTCAGCAATTGTAAATAGTGCTGCTATAAACATAGGGGTACATATATTTTTTCTGATTGGTGTTTCAGGCTTCTTAGGGTAAATTCTTAGACGTGGGATCACTGGATCAAATGGCAAATCAATTTTTAATTTTTTTAGGAAACACCATATTGTTTTCCATAGTGGCTGCATCAGTCTGCATTCCCACCAGCAGTGGACTAGAGTCCCCTTTTCTCCACATCCTCACCAGCACTTGTTGTTTGATGATTTGTTGATGGCAGCCATTCCGACAGGTGTGAGGTGATGCCTTATACTTGTTTTAATTTGCATCTCTATGATGATTCCGGACATTGAACACTTTTGCATATGTCTCTTGGCCATTTGTATGTCCTGTTTGGAGAGGTGTCTCTTTAAGTCCTCTGCCCATTTTTTAATTGGGTTCTTTGTCTTCCTTTTGTTGAGTTGTATGAGTACTCTATATAGTTTGGAAATTAGCCCCTTATCTGATGTATCGTTGGCAATTATGTTCTCTCATATAGTGGGTTCCCTTTCCAATTTGAGGGTTGTTTCTTGTGCTATGCAGAAACTTTTTAGTTTGATGCAGTCCCATGTGTTCATTTTTTCCTTTGTTTCTACTGCCTTAGGCATTGTATCAGTGAAAATTCTGTTGCGTGTGATGTCTGAGATTTTGTTTCCTACATTTTCTTCTAAGATTTTTATAGATTCATTAGTCACATTGAGGGGGTTTTTTTTGTGTGTGTATGGTGTAAGTTGAGGGTCTAGTTTCATTTTTTTTTTTTGCATGTAGCTGTCCAATTTTCCCAAAACCATTTATTAAAGAAGCTGTCTTTACTCCATTGTATGCTCTTGCCTCCTTTGTCAAACATTAATTGAGCAGAATGTCTTGGGTCCATTTCTGGGTTCTCTGTTCTGTTCCACTGGTCTATCTGCCTATTCTTGTGCCAGTATCAGGCTGTTTTGATTACAGTGGCTTTGTAGTATAACCTGATATCTGGTATTGTGATTTCACCTACTTTATCCTTTTTTTTAAAGATTGCTGTGGCTACTCAGAGTCTTTTTTTGGTTCCATATAAACCTTTGAAATATTTGTTCTATTTCTGTGAAATATGTCATTGGTATTTGATGGGGATTCCATTGAATCTATAGATTGCTTTGAGTAATATGGACATTTTAATGATGTTAATTCTTCCAATCCATGAACAAGGTATGTGCTCCCACTATTTTATATCTCCCTCTATTTCTTTTTTCAATGTCCTTTAGTTTTCTGCAAATAGGTCCTTTACTTCTTTGGTTAAATTTATTCCTAGTTATCTTTTTTTTCCCCGTGATGGTAAATGGAATTGTTTTTTACAGTTGCTCTTTCTGTGATTTCATCATTGGTGTATAAGAATGCCGTCGATTTTGTGACATTAATTTTGTATCTGCTACTTTGCCGAATTCATTTATTAAGTCTAGTAGATTTTTGATGGAGTCTTTAGGGTTTTCTGTGTATAATATCATGTCATCTGCAAATAATGACAGTTTCACTTCCTCCTATCCAATTTGGATCTGTTTTATTTTTACTTCATGTCTGATTGCTGTGGTTAAGACTTCCAGTACTGTGTTAAATAAGTGGCAAAAGTGGGCATCCCTGTCTTGTTCCTGTTCTTAATGGAAATGCTTTTAGTTTTTGCCCATTGAGCATGATGTTGGCTGTGGGTCTTTCATATATGGCCTTTATTATGTCGAGATATGATCCCTCTATTCCCAGATTGCTGAGCGTTTTTATCAGAAATGGGTGCTGGATTTTGTTGAATGCTTTTTAAGCATTCATTGATATGATCATGTGGTTTTTATATTCCATTTTATTTATGTGGTGTATTACATTTATTGATTT